TACAGCGCATAATTTACTTTTGAGTGAAACGCGCGCCACTATTTTTTTTGCACGATCTTACACTCTTTGACAGCTCCTATGCCGGCGTCGAACTGAACTATTTATTATAAATTGCGTGTTGTGTTTACCCGATGATGTAATGTTGCAATATATAATGCAACTATTTACAAATGCTTTAAACTTAATTTTGGACGATAATATTTATTAAAATTGTTATTAAATCAAATTTACTGCATCACCTGGTGCCAAAGGCCGAAAACTAGACCCGGTCGGCTTACCGGCGCAACGACCCTACATTCTTCTACAACATCATTATCAACACTGGGAGCTTCACTACTCATTTTCTCGCCAATGATACCGTACCGAGCCCAGAAACGGTGAATCCAACTAGACGAGCAAATGAAATGTTTACTAAGATACAGAGCAAAATAGTTTGATTTTTGTTGAATAATTGGTCCATTTATTGGCACACTAGCTTTTGCCCGCAACTTCATCCGTGTAGATATTATACTTTAAACCAAATATACTTTACAGTTTTACCATACGCCAAAATAGCTCACAGATGACAGATTTTTTCTGAATTCCTTAACACATTATATTTTGACCAAATTACACAAAATCTTTAATAATTATAGCCTATGTGTTGTTCTGATGTATGAGCTATATTATTGTAAAGTTTCATTAAAATACATTCAGTAGTTTTTGCATAGAAGAGTAACAAACATCCATACATCCTCACAAACTTTCACGTTTACAATATTAGTAGGATTATTTGTCCTTCAATATTTAACTACTTTAACAAAGCTTTCCCAATCTTCATTCTTCTTGCTAGCTTCATTTTCAAAAAATTGTAGTCAAAAAGTACATGATTTTTTTCACTTCTCTTTTGCCAAGTCAATTTATTTATTTAAAACATAAAAGATTTTTAATATTGATATGGTCACTATAAGATGTTGTTAGGTTATGTAATAACTTAAGACAGAAGGACCCTTAAGTAGGAACTGAATAAATTAACCGACTTAGTAGATATACTATAGACTTACATGGATCTCACAACTTTAGAAGAACTGAGTTGTGAGACTTGGTTTTTTTACAAGTTATGTTTTTGATGGCATCTCATTTCTTTTTATACATAGTTATTATATCTAGGTACCTATCTACACCTATTATTCCATTATATAATACATATATAGATACACTGATTCAATCACTGCAAATGCAACTTTGTAATCCTATATATTTATATGGGATTACAAAGTTATTTATGCAGTTGGTGTATCTCGAAAACTGGACCGATATTAGAAAATATTTTAGTTTTTCCTTGATTTATATACTACTAAACAATAATTGTATTCCAAATTTGAAGCTTCTATGTTTGCTAGAAGTGCCTTAGAGTTTTGATGATCGGTAAGTGAGTGAGTGACAAAATTAAGAAACTTTGACTAGTTATAATTCTTAAACTACTGGTTCCAATTTAATTAAATTTAAAATATACTGAGTTTATACAATGCCTATTTGGTTACTAAAATTCAAGCTTCTAGTTTTATCCAGAACGAAGTTAAAGGGTTTTGAAAATTGGCACTGCCATGCCCCCAAATAAATGTAGTATGTCATTTAATTGGACGTAGATTAGCAGAAAGGACTCAACCCACAATATTGTCAAAAATGAGTTAGATACACCAAATGAACCTAAAAGGTCGGGTCTATCATTCAGCAAAAACGAGCTAGCCTCAGACAAATAGAAAGCATTTTTTTAAATACTGGGGACCAACCCACATAAGGGTGCGCATTTTTATATGATCAGCTAAATAGACCCAACCCGCTAGAATCCTTTCTAATAAATTATATTTCAAGGGAACGCACTAAACTTTATTTAACTTATTAGCCTCAATTCATGTGAGTTGTTTTAAATAAATACACATACAAAGAAAAGAGTCTGTTTTTTTATTCATCAAAAACGACTTAAGTTTCCTAGGTCGTTTTTGATAAATAAATATTACCGTAAAACGCTCTTTGAACATTCAACTGAAATGACTCAAACTCTCTGAATCATTGTTGATGAACTGAAATTAAAAAAAAAGTGCATTTATAATTTGGCTATAAAATCTCAAACTGTCTAGGGCTTTTAAGATTAATATTTATTTGCAACTTTAAAGTCACTAAAATGACTTAAGGACATTATGTAACAACATTATTTTCATAGATTACCTACTACCATGCATTTTTTTAAACGACAACATTTTTTTACTTATACTATTTTAGTTTAAAAAGTTGCAACCCTTGTTGTATTGTATCTTGTGTAATCGGAGTTTTGGCGGGAAATTGACCGGCGGCGGTTTGCCGCTCCTGTATTATTGTTTAAATAATGGTTTGAAGTGGACTTTGATATGTAAAAGTGTTGCGATTTTGTGTATTAAGTGTCTACGCATGTGAACTATTAGTGGAAACAGTGAAACAAGTGCTCTGATGGTGATGGATTCTCAAGATAAGCTGTTTGTTTGCATAGGCACCTTTAGATACCATCGCCAACTATCAGCTGTCTGCTGGATCAAGTTGCCGCCAAAATCTCCCAAGAACTGCACAATGTGACGCATCAACATATTGTGAAGCAGTATACTATGAAGGAGTGGGGAAATTACAATAAACCGAATAAAAATACTTAAGACTTGGTGACTTGTACTAAGAACCTAAACGTTAAGTTGGAGAGGTCTCGTCTAATGAAGTCAACGCTCCGTCCCCCTCGTGCTCTGTTCCAAAGTCCCGAAACCTTTCAGCTCGAGTTACAAAACCGTTTTCAGTGCCTAGAAGACTGCAATGAAGTGGACGATATGAATGACAAGCTCGTGGAAACTGTCCATGCGGTCGGAGCTAAGTTCTGCAAGACCCGCCGCAGAAGAACACAAAAACTCTCCGATCACACTCTTAATCTCATGGCTGTTAGACGGGAGATGAAGCTACATTCTTCAACAGACTTGACAGCATACAGGCATCTGAACAGACAGATCTCCAAATGCATGCGGCGGGACTTACGCAACTTCAATACAGCTCGTATTGAAGAAGCGATCGAGCGGAACCAAGGCTCCAAAGTCTTTGCCAGAGATCTGTCTGCCAGAAAGAGCCACCTGTCAAAGCTGAAGACAGAGTGTGGCAGCATCGTTTCCGGGACACCTGAGATTTTGAGTGAGATTGAGAGGTTCTATGGGCAGCTGTACACGTCATCGTTGGAGCCACACGCAAGTGTGAGTAACGATCCAAGAGCGAGTCTCATCCGACACTATTCCGAAGATATCCCGGACGTCAGTCTAAGGAGCACAAGAGGTAGGGTCGTGCCTCGTACGGTTCATTAAAAACGATCTCAGCCATGAAGTGGAAGATCTTGTGTTGTGGAGCGATTGCTGTGGGGGGCAGAATCGTAACATAAAAATTATTTTAATGCTGAAAGCAGTATTGGATTCTCATCCGAGACTAAAAACAATAACACTAAAATATTTAGAGTCAGGGCATACATTTCTTCCCAATGACACCGATTTTTCTAAAATAGAATACCAATTAAAATATCACCAAAGAATATACACTTCCGATCAATACATTAACGTGATTAAGAGCTGCAAGAAAAAAAATCCACTGAAGGTTTATAGGATGCAAAGAAATGATTTCTTTTCTACCAGCAAAATGGAGAAGAAAATTGTCAACAGAAAAACTTTCGTTACAAAAGCTAAAGTTAACTGGTTAAGGACAAAAAAAATACTCTTGAAAAGAGATGAAAAGTATACAATCTACATGGAAAATACTGATGGAATGTTTGAAGAGCTAAACATTGAAAAGAAATTAAGAGGAAAACGATTAGAAATATCGGAAGAGGACTTAGTGTTGCTGTGGCCGAATGGGAAAGAAATTGCTCAAACAAAACTGGACGACTTGAAATCTATCTTTGACTTTATTCCCAAAGATTGTTTAGATTTCTATAAAACTCTAAAGGGGAACGATAATATTACTGAAGATGTCGATGGCTTCGATTGTGTTACTGATTTTGAGCTGCTTATAGAGCAGACAGAGCAGACGGAGCAGGATGACCAGGAAGACTTATTGCAAGATATAGTGTAATAAAAGTAAAGAGTTCATTTTGGATTTTTTAATAGTAAGAGTCACGGTCGATCAACTGATCGACCGTGACTTGTGTGTACTAATACTTGTGTTTAATTTTAAATTATAAATGGTAATTAATAAATAATTTTGCTTTGATTCATTTATTGACTTTCTTTTAAAAAACCTTTAATTTTAATTTTAATTAATCACTTGAGTCATTTTAGTAGAATTCAAATAAAGACTGCATCATGAAAATACAAATTTATCAAAAAGGACTCAAACCTATATTTTTTTCAATAACTCATGAATAACATGCAAAATACCATCAAACTGAAACCCATTTAAAACGCAATTGTTAAATCCCTTAACTAACCTAACACCTTAATATTCTGAGTCCAATATCACTGAAGAATACATCTCCGAACTTTAAACATCGATTACTCAAAAGTGATATTTTGTGGTTTGAGTCCTTTCTGCTAATCTACGTCCAATTGCTGTACAAGACTTAACTGGAACACAAAGACTATAAATTGATGTAATATTAAAGAATGTACCTCAAATATGTATTTATCACTTTTATATGTTCACAAAAAACACATCAAATTGCATTCAAAACATAAGACATCTCTATACTTTAAGATCTGCACCAAGTGATATTATGTCTACCTATTTGTGCTTATGGACCTAACTACCCAACTTAAATAAATTATTAACATTCGAGGTATTCCTGTACATAATTTGTAGTTCATAACCATATTGATATTTTAATTTTATAAGTAATTCTACTAACTTTATAAAAGTGCAAACACAGCAAACATTAGGTTTTTAGTAAGTTTCCTATAACAGATTAAGTAATATTTACTTAAACATTTTCTACACTAAGACGTTTAATCAATTAATTATTGCTCACTCACCAGATCTTATATGATGTATAAGCAGCGGTACTGAACAGAATGGAATACAATAAATATTTGTATGAATATCTTTGAGAATTGTTATGATCATCCCGTGGAGTATCTGTAAAATATTTTTTATGGGAATAACAACAATGATTGAGGTTTATTGGTACTGCAACATTTGACACTTTTCCAATTTGTGGAATTTTTCTTATTGCTGATATTTCTCTTGGTACTTTTAGTAAGCGCGATGTATAGCCGTACATTATTTTCAGTTAATAAAATATAAATTGTAAACTTCAAAAATTATTATTCACAGACTTATATGATAGGCTTGGGCAAAAAATATCGATATATCGAAATACGACAAAATATGTAACAACCAAAGAGTATAGTAACTGTCCCATACATGAACTCATGTGTGGCTTAGAGATGAAGCGTATATACTAGAACAGATCTAGGCACTAAGTATTAAACGAGACTAGGTTGCACCTGTTCCAGCTTTTAAAATACTTGATCAAACTAGTCTCACTGTGCCTACGCATCGCATGGCACAACACGGCGGCCCGCTCGAACTGAAGATGTACAAGTACCGGCGCGGTAAAGCGAGATAGCATTTTGTTGCCATTACTAGTCTGCTTTGCCGCTTACTCATGTTTGCCTAAATCATTCGTGTGTAAGACATTTCAATTTGAACAATAGTTCAATTTGTATAAAAGTAACACGACGCGCACTCATATTGTGCAAGAATATATTCTGTCCTTTTTTTAACTACACTATTCCGCAGTCTTTCTATCTTTCTAGGTCAATACTCGAGACTAGTTGGGACTAGTCCCGGGGACTTCAACCAAATACTAGGCAGATTTTATAGACTAGGTACTAGTAAATACTCAATGCGAATGGAGACTATATCATGCAGTCGAGTGTCTTGTTCGGACTCATGCGTATACTATTCCAACAATACCAAACTCTATGCGTACTTCATGGACAAGGTGGAACAGGTATTTGAATCGAGAATTTGTACGGGATTGGACTAAGTGCACCTAGTACATAATTTACTTAGTACGACCCATCTCTAGTGTGGTTGGTTGTCGTTTTTGTTTCGTCTTTCAACCGTCAGTGATATTACATTTTATAGATCTTATCTTTATATATCGATATTTATCACCCGATATACATCGATACTGTTTAAAAATATTGATTCAATATATATCGATATATTTTTTCCCTTGCCCATCCCTAAAATATGATGCTTTATTATTTTTGTATTTTTTTAAATAACTGGCTTTACGGCTCTGGGCTCTAGCCCTTCTGAGCCTGAAGTTACAATGTATAATTATCCTTCATAGTACACTGCTTCACAATATGTGATGCGTCACATTGTGCAGCCCTTGGGAAATTTTGACGGGTACTTGAGCTAGCAGACAGCTGACAGTTGGCGATAGTAACTCAAGGTGCCAAAGGAGACAGACTTTTTCTTATATCTATGGACAGACACCTTATCTTGAGAATGACATCACCAGGCTGGTGCAACTTCCATATTAAAAATTATATGTACTACAGGGGTCAAATTTTAATGACGGTTATCTCTTCTTTCTGCTTTTCGTAATATGTCTGTTAACGACATTGTCAAATCAAATACGTTCAAATGTCAAATCAAACAATTATATTTGTATATAATTTATTTATTAAGATTGCTTTAAATTTTGCTATAGAAGTCGTTGTTCATTTACAGAATCGTCAAAAAATTAAATAAGCATTATAAAACTTTCCAATTAAATGGTACAAGAAGCGGAAAAAATGATAACAAGAAAAGGCTATTTGTAGCGTAGTACATTATATCTCAATGTTTGTAGCAATATTTCCCTTAGATGATGAAAGGTATGTGGTGATTTCAACTTTAATAGTAATATGATATTTAACGCGATTACATTTTTGGACTAGCCATCTACGTAGGACAGGTTTTTATAGTGTACGATTGTGTGCAGAAATACAAACACACTATTTCTTAAATCTGATAGTTCGATGATATGGCAATCCGAAACGAACTATACTTAGAAACTGCACAGTCAATTGTGACTGCTAACATTCTATTTGTTCAATAAAAATGTGATTTTATTTATATTATTTTTTCAGATGCAAGCATTGGGTGAAATAGCTGGCACATGCATCAATTGAAAAGATTCACATGTTAAAACATATTTGTGGCAAACATTGCCTTTGAACCCAACTAAAACGAACTGTTATTTCATCAGTGGACTTAATTTAAACTTCCACAATTATGTGTATGTTAATTAGGTTTCATTTATATGTAGCAAAAATAATATCCCTCTAAAGTGACATTTTGGTAAGAATTCGATTATATAAATATACTCAAAGATTTTTTGTAATTACCTGGTTATAAATAATTTTTTTATAGATTCATCTATAAACATTAGCTATACTGAGCACTCATTTTGAAAGCGACAATTAGTAAACGCTCTCTGCGAATAGTATGTACCTCTAGTAGTAGTATTTGTTACACATAAAAGCAATTTAATGCAATCAGTGTTAAAAACCTAATATTTATACTCTTACAAAAAAAAACTTTGAAAAGAAACATCCACACACAGACTATTTATTTTACAGCATAGCAACAATTGTTCAGTGCGGTAACGAAGCCTCGGCACTGCAGTGCCGCAGCCAAACGCTTAGCCACTGCGCTACGGAGTCGTCGTTTATTTTTTACTTAATTAGTTACTAGTATAATAATGCGTTTTTTATTTTATATATTCTTTATACATATTTTTGTACCTAATTGTAGAGATATAATTACAAATTGCTGTGTGTAAAATACATGGATTTCTTTTCCTCATCGGCATTTTTACTCAATCCCCACGTTAAAAAAATTATTTCTAATAAATAATTCAGTATAGAGATCTAACCTTTATTATGAAAAAATATCGATAAACAATATATCGATAAAGGTTATATCGATAAAATTATTCGAGGATAGACATGTAAAGCACTATTGTAATTCGTCAATGTTATCAACACTGTAAATAATGTAGATTTCTCTGTCTACGATATGTAGCAAGTTAACACCCCCCCCCCCCCACCTACCCTTCCGAAGCCTGATGAATTTAGAGCCCTTCATAGTTTGTGATTTGGAGAATATATATATATATATATATATATATACTTGCTGAGCAGGCAGACGTTGTTCTGCACTTTCCGACGACCATTTGCTTTCTTAAAAAAACTCCTGAGATTAGCAATAAAAAAAATGCAGGGTCACTTATCTGGATGAAAACTATCCTATCTCTCAAGTTGGACCAAACTGCACACAGTGTGCAAAATTTCATTGAAATCAGTTCAGTAGTTTAGGAGGAGTCAGTAGACGGACAAACAACGTGACACGTAGTTTTTATATATAAAGATATATATACAAAAATACTGATAGACGTATTTTATAGCACATCTAAAAAATATTAATTATTTAAACTGCACCCATGTAGTTAAATAGAAAAATAAGAAATAAAAAAGTTAAAGATCGCTCAAATTATAATGTCGATATTACTTCAGGTAATTAGATTTAGGCACATTTTGCAATATAAAAATATTGCACCTTGCTTGAATATACACACACAAACACACAAAAACGCCTGTCACACAGAGGGGTAGGCAGAGACTACGGACTTCCATTTGGCGCGATCCTGACACACCTCTCTCGCCTCCTTTATATCCATATATCTACGGATACACGCTCGTCGGTTAAGGGTACACCTAATCTGGCCCATTTTTAATGTATCGCCGATTTGGTCGATAAACCTTCGTCTAGGACGTCCCTTTCTGACTCTGCCGTTCATTTCTGCAACATAAATTTGCTTTGTCACTCTTTCCTCGTTCATTCTTTCTACATGACCAAACCACCGAAGCATTCCTTTCTTAATCCTTGTTGCAACGTCATCTTGCAAACCACACTTCTCTTATCACACTATTTCTCACCCTGTCATTCAGATTCAGCCCTAGCATACTCCTTAAGGACCGCATTTCTACAGCATTTATTCTACTCTCATGCTTCTTCTGCCAGACCTAACTTTCACTACCATACATTAAAGTAGGGACTGACACAGCATTATGAATTGCCATACGTGCCTTATTTGACACATTCTGACTCCTCATAATAGCGTGTAGAGCCCCATTCACTCTATTTCCTGCGTTCACTCGTCGTTCTATATCCTTATCATATCTACCATCCCTGCTAAATAAACATCCCAAATATACTCATCCACTTGCTCAATCAACTCCCCTTCTATTCTTATTTCACATAACGTTTTACTTTCTTCTCTTTCAAAAACCATCACTTTCGTCTTACTTGCGTTCACTTTCATACCTCTTTCTTTCAATGATCAGTTTATTAAAGTAACCATCATTTGCAACTCGGCCGCCGACGATGCAAATATGACTTGATCATCGGCGTACAAAAGGCATTTGATGGTTAACTAACCCATTCTTAACCCATATTCTTGAACTTTCAAAGTTTGCAAACAAATGTCCATAAATAGGTTAAACAGCCACGGGGAAGCTACACATCCCTGTCTGACACCTTTATGAAAGCCAAATCAGTCCGAGTAGAGCCCGTTGATCCTGACACAAGTACTAGAGTCCCTATAAAGATACCTTAATGCTTGTATCAAGACAGCGCTCAACCCAAATGAGTTCAGTGTTTGCCATAATACATTCCTGTCCACTTTGTCATAAGCCTTTTCCAAGTCCATGAACGCACAAAAAACTTTCTGGTTTTTGGCCAAAAACTTCTCCGCAATTATGCGCATAGAAATGACTTGATCCGTACACCCCATCCCCTTTCTAAATCCAGCTTGCACATCCCTAATTCTTTCAATTAACACCTTAGCACACATTTTACCCACAATGCTAAGTAAGCTGATACCACGGTAGTTTTTACAGTCCTGCTGCGAGCCCTTTCCCTTATATATGGGGACTATAATGGCTTTGCACCAGTCTTTCGGTACCCGCTTCAGTTCCCAACATAAATTAAACAAGGTGAACAGCAGGCCTGCAACCACACCCTCTCCAGCCCTTAGCATTTAGCGTGATATTCTATCAAATCCGGCTGCCTTACCTGCTTTTATGCTTTTCATTGCTTTCATTATTTCATCTACACTTATCTCCCCTCTGTCCACTTCTTCCAGAATTTCTATTACACTTACTTCAGACGACTCTTCACTCTTAAATACCCTTTCAAAGTATTCCTTCCATCTCT